GAAAGACTACAGGGATGGCAGCTAGTCATCACCCCACCGCCAACTCTTGGGATTCACCATCACATTATAACACCCCCATGGCTTAAAGGGCGAGAATGTTTGATGTGGTGGGATTCAAACCCGCGACCCTCAGATTGTGAGTCGAATGCCTTAACTACCTGGCCATGCTAGACCATTTCTTACCTCTCAGATTATTTTGCAGATTTACTAAATTAGTTTTTGAACAGTTTTTGTAATTTAGGTGTAATCAGATTTTTAGCTCTTAGTTTATTCAAAAGATTTTCTAACTTTGTTTGTCCAATCGATTTTCTAGCTCTTATTTTCTTCATCAGTCTTATTAACTTAGTTTGTTCAACATATTTCCTATCTATAACTTTATTCTACTGATATTCAAACTCAGTTTTTTCAACAAATTTCTTAGCTGTGAATTTTTATTGGAAATTTCCTAACCTACTTTATTCAACATATTTCTTAGTTCACAGTTTTTCAACAAATCTGCTACTTTAATTTATTCAACAGGTTTCCTAACTTAGTTTGTTTAACATATTCCTTTTCTCTCTGTCTATTCTCCAGATTTACTAAATTTTTGATTGAAGATATTTCCTAAATTAGTTTGTTCAACAGATTTCCTTAATTTCTTCAACTGGTTTCTTAATTCTAAGATTATTCTGTAGGTTTTCTTAGTTTGTTCAACATATTTCATAGCTTCGAAATTATTCTCCATTTTCGTAATTTACGATGTTTATCACGTTTATTATCTTTCTGCAGATTTTCTAATTTAGTTTGTTCCACAGATTTACTAATTTAATCTCTTCAACAAATTTCTTAATTTAGTTTGCTCAACAGACTTACTGAGTTAGTTTGATCAACAGATTTTTTTAACCCAGTTTTATTCAGCAGATTATTTAAGTCTCAGTTTATTCTGCAGATTTCTTAACTTAGTTTGTTCAAGAGTTTATCTGACTTTTGTTCAATAGATTTTATATCATAGTTTGTTGAACAGATTTTGTATATCTAAGTTTATTCTACAGATTTTCTAATGTAGTTTCTTCGACAGATTTCTTAGCTCTCAGGTTATTCTGAAGAGTGTTTAACATAGTTTGTTCATTAAATTTCCTTACTTAGTTTGGTCAACACATTTTTAGCTCTCAATTTATTCTAGAGATGTCCTAAATTAGTTTCTTCATTAGAGTTGCTAACTTAATTTGTTCAACAGACTTTCTGATTTAGTTTTATCAACAGACTTCTTAGCCCCAAGTTTATGCTGCAGATTTCCTACCTGGGTTTTCCCGACAAATTTCGTAATTTAATTTGTTCAAAAGATTTCCTGACTCAGTTTGTTCGATATATTTCATAGCTCTCAGATTATTCAACAAATTTCCCAAATTAGTTATTTCAACATATTTCCTACTTTAGGTTTGGACATATTTCTTAGCTCCTAGTTTGTTTAAAATATTTTCTAACTTAGCTGGTTCATCCCAATTTTCTAGGTCATAGTTTCTTCAACAGATTATCTAACTTAGTTTGTACAAAAGGTTTCTTATCTATAAGTGTATTCTACAGATTTCCCAACTTAGTTTGTTAAACTTAATTGTTAATTCTAGGTTTGTTCTGGAGATTTTCTAACTTTGTTTGTTCAACAGATTATCTAACTTAGCTTGTTCAACAGATTTCCTAGTTCTCTTTTTTGCATATTTCCTAAGTTAATTTGATCAGCAGATTTCCAAATTCAGTTTATTCAATACATTTCTTAGCTCTCAGTTTATTCTACAAATTTTCTAACTTTGTTTGTTCAACAGGTTTTCTAACTTAGTTTTCTTCAAAGATTTCCTAAAGTAGTTTTGAAGAGATTTCTTAACTCTTAGTTTCTTCTAAAAATTTCTTAACGTCGTTTATTCAACAGATTTCTTAGCTTTCATTTTATTCTGGAGATTTCCGAATTTAGTTTGTTGAAAAGATATCATAGCTCTCAGTTTATTCTATAAATTTCCTATTTTAATTTGTTCAACAAATTCCCTATCTCAGTTTGTTCAACAGAATTCCTGACTGAGTTTGTTCAATATATTTCTTAGCTCTCATAATATTACGCAGGTTTCATAAATTAGTTTTTTCAACAGATTTATTAGCTCTTAGATTGTTCAAAAGATTTTGCAACTTAGTTTGTTCAACAGATTTCCTAACTTAATTTGCCCAACCGATTTTCTAGCTCTTAGTTTGTTCAAATAATTTCCTATCTCTACATATTTCCCAAAGTACTTTGTTCAATAAAATTTCCTTACATAATTTGTCAACAAATTTACTAACATGGTTTGTTCAACAGATTTTCTAACTAGTTTGTTCAATAGAATTCCTGACGTAGTTTGCTCAACATAATCTCTAGCCCTAAGTTTATTCTGCAGATTTTCTAGCTTAGTATTTTCAACAAATTTCCTAACTTAGTTTTATTAACACACTTCTTAATTTAGTTCATTCAGTATATTTCTTAGCTCTCAGTTTATTTTGCATATTTCCTAATTAAGTTTGTTCAACAGATTTCTAAGCACCCAATTCATTTTACATATTTCATCACCTAGATTGTTCAAAATATTTCTCAGTTATTAGGTTATTCTGCAGATTTCCTAAGTTAGATTTGTTTAACAGACTTTCTAACTTCGTTTGTTTAAAAGATTTCTTAGCTCTCAGTTTTTCTGCAAGTTTTACCAACTTTATTTGTTCAACAAATTTCCTAACTTGGTTTGTACAACAGATTTTCTAGCTCTTTGTTTGTTCTACAGATTATCTAACATTGTTTGTTCTATAGATTTCGTAACATAGTTTGTCCAACCAACTTTCTAGTTTTTTCTTTGTTTAACAGATTATCTAACTCTTTGTTTGTTCTACAGATTACCTAACTTTCTTTGTTCTATAGATTTCGTAACATAGTTTGTCCAACCAGCTTTCTCGCTTTTTGTTTGTTCAACAGATTATCTAACACTTTGTTTGTTCTGCAGATTATCCAACTTTGTTTATTCTATAGATTTCGTAACATAGTTTGTACAACAGATTTTCTAGCTCTTTGTTTGTTCTACAGATTATCTAACTTTTTTGTTCTATAGATTTCGTAACATAGTTTGTTCAACAGATTATCTAGCTTAGTTTGTTTGTTCAACAGATTATATAACTTTGTTTGTTAAACAGATTTCCTAATTTAGTTTTTCAACAGATTTTCTATTCTACGAGTTCCTAACTTAGTTTGTTGAAGATATTTTTTTTAGCTCCCAATTTTTTTGTATATTTTCTAAATTAATTTGTTCAACAGATTTACTAATTCAGTTTGTCCAACTGATTTACTAGCTCCTGGTTTGTTCAACAGATTTCCTATTTCTAAGTTTTTCGACGAATTCCTAACTTAGTTTGTTCAACATATTTCTTAGCTCTCAGTTTATTCTGCAGATTTAGCAACTTAGTTTGTTTAAAGGATTTCGTAATTCTCATGTTATTCTGCATATTTCCTGTATTACTTTTCTTCAACAGATTTCCTAACTTAGTTTGTTCAGCAGATTTCGTAATGTTACGTATCTGCTCGTTTGATAATTTCCCGTAAAAATTCTTTCTGAGAAACATCAGCGATACAAGTTATTTTTTAATTAAAACTAGTTTATTCTTTCTCGTTACAAACTTTGTAATACACTTAATTTCCACAGTCAATTTAACTTAAACACATGCTGTAATTCACAATGATTCACGAACTTTACTTATGGTCACTACTGTTCACTTGGCTCAATTATCTGTCTCTATATCTCTATCTGTTATCCAATTCCAAATAATTGTCTCGCTTTATCTGGCGTGCTTATATACAGGAATAGTGGGTATCTAGCAAATACTGGATTATTCGTGATGTACCCCAATCCTTCTAGAAACTCATCACGTGTTATCAGTGTCACGTCACTTCCGCTTTCGTAACAGTAACTTAGTTTGTTCAAAAGGTTTCTAATATCTAAGTTTGTTCAAAAGGTTTCTAATATCTAAGTTTGTTCAAAAGGTTTCTAATATCTAAGTTTATTCTACATATTTCCTAAATTAGTTTTTTCAACAGTATATTTTGAAGATTTAGTAACTTAGTTTATTCAACAGATTTCTTTGTTCTCAGTTTATTCTGCAGATTTCTTAACTTAGTTTATTCAACAGATTTCTTTGTTCTCAGTTTATTCTGCAGATTTCTTAACTTAGTTTGTTTCAAAGATTTCTTAGCTCTGAATTTATTCTGTAGATTTTCTAATTTAGTTTGTTCAATTTATTTCATGACTCTGAATTTATTCCAAAATGTCTTAAATTAGTTTGTTTAAAAGATTTTCTGGCTCTTAGTTTGATCAAGTGTTAATCTAAATTTGTTTGTTCAGCAGATTTTGTATATCTGAGTTTATTCTACATATTTCCTAACTTAGTTTGTTCGTCAGATTTCTTTGCTCTCAGTTTTGCATATTTCCTAACTTAGTTTGAACATATTTCTTAGCTTTTAGTTTGTTCAAAATATTTTCTAACTTAGCTCTCAGTTTATTCTGCAGATTTAGCAATTTAGTTTGTTTAAAGGATTTCGTAATTCTCATGTTATTCTGCATATTTCCTGTATTACTTTTCTTCAACAGACTTCCTAACTTAGCTTGTTCAGCAGAGTTCTTAGCTCTCAAATTATTATACAGGTTTGTTTAAAGGATTTCGTAATTCTCATGTTATTCTGCATATTTCCTGTATTACTTTTCTTCAACAGACTTCCTAACTTAGCTTGTTCAGCAGAGTTCTTAGCTCTCAAATTATTATACTTAGTTTGTTCAACAGATTTTTAACTTAGTTTTTTCCGATGGATTTTTAACTTTTAGTTTGTGTACCTTGAAATTCAAGAACTACAATTTTGTGTCAGTTCCTAACAAACTAAAGCTAACATTAGTTACATGTTCTAAAACATTGACTTTATAGTTGCATATTCGTTTGTGTAATTGCTTGTTATGATTTGTTTCTTCCAGACATTCTACTTTTGTCACCAACGTGGACAACTTACGAACCTCAGGCTCGAATCACAAGACATAAAATCCACGTAATTCCTGTTGACTTGAATACTGGCTGGAAATTGACACCGGAAATTATGACCAGGGTAAGGTATATTATCATACAATACAGCTATCTTGGCTATATAAAGAACTTTGACATGCAAATATGTTACCTAAGATAGAAAACATTGTAATACAACATATGTTTTCACCTAGTAATGCTCCTTTTTTTGTCTAACACATTTCGTAACATAGGACAGATAAACTGCATTGCCATACAACAGATCCTTTAACCTACACCATCATGTAATATATATCGTAACTTAGTAGAATATATCATCATGTAAAATATATGTTATCATAAGTAGAGTACACCATCATGCAACATACATTTAAGTAAGCAGCACATCATATTAGGTATATCACCATGAAGTGGATAGTTAACTAGGTGGGTACATCGCCATACAGCAGATATCTCGACCTATTTGAAGTATATCATCATGTACCAGGTAGATGCATTGCCATAAAACCGATAGCATATCCCACATGAAGGACATGATCATACAAACAATATCTAAACCTTGCTAAGATACACCATCATACACTAGGTAATTTTACGAAGTTAGAGATCACAGTCAATTATCAAATAACTTGAACAATTGATAGAAAATTATTATACATCAGATAATGTGATAAAGATAGAGTATATTATCATATATCAGACAGCTCGAGAAAGATTAGTAGTTAAGGCTGCACTTTGATGTCCAAAATATGCTTCCTCATGTTGATTGGTTATATCAGATGATAAGGAAGGGGTAAAAACTTGAGTCCATTAGATCACGTGATGTTATAGTTCTATGAAGTGGAACCAGGGGGCGTATTAGTAGGGGGAGTCGATAAGGTGTAAATAATTAGTAGCATAATAGTTTCAAGTTGTGTCACCAGAGGATGAGCCATTAGGGATGAAAAAGGAAGAGTTGGTTTGTTTTGTTTTGAATTACATGCAAAGTTACACGAAGGCTATCTGAGCTAGCCATCCCTAATTTAGTAGTGAAAGACTAGGGGAAAGGCAGCTAGTTATCACCACCCACTGCTAACCCTTGGGCTATTCTTTTACTAACGAATAGGGGGATTCACAATCACAACATACTTTTTACAATTATTCTAGTTTATCTTATAAATATCTATCATGAAAAAATTACATTTCTTATCGTTTTATAAGTAAAGCATTCAAACTCTAATATATAACACTTGTGTCAGTATTATAATGTAGTACAGCTTGACCTTTCAGTTCACATATATTTTTATGTTATTATTTTATGTATGTACTATTATAGCCCAGTTTTGATTCTTGTGTCTAATTCTACCTACAAATTATTAAACTCTATATGATCATTTTGCTCCAACTAAATGAAGTAACACTTGTACTTTTATAAAACGTAAGACTTACAAAATTTCGTTCAGTTGAGTAAAAATTAAGATTTTCTAATCTAAAGGATTACCAAACGGTCAAGACTATTCAAATTACTATAACTTGCGAAGCATATAGTAGTTATAACGTTTTTCACATACTACATAAATGAAAATATCAATTCTTTTCTGTTTAATTAAATACGTTGTTTGTGTTTGGAATTTCATGCAAAGCTACACAAGGGCTATCTGCACTACCCGTCTCTAATTTAGCAGTGTAAGACAAGAGGGAAGGCAGCTAGTCATCACCACTCACCGCCAACTCTTGGGCTACTCTTTTACCAATGAATAGTGGGATTGACCATCACATTATAACGTCCCCACGGCTGATAGGGCGAGCATGTTTGGTGTGACGGGGATTCTAACCCGCGACCCTCTGATTGCGAGTCGAGTGCCCTAACCATCTGGCCATGCCAGGCCTAACTGAATACATACAAATATAATTGATTGTTTCAACAAGTCTCACTATGACACATATCACAGTCCATCATGATTGGTTCTTTATGAAAAGAAGTTGGCATTAACGAATCACGTCACTGACCTCTACTGGAAAGGGGTCACAGGGTTTAAAATTCTAAGAAACTAAGTAATGTTTGTTGTAATCATAGCAAGACTATTTGTTTATGCTTGTTTTATAATCACAACATTCGTATGAAAGTTAAATGTTTTGTAAGATTCAGATAGAATTTATGTTTTCCTGTTTAAAATAAATACTGTAGTTCATTTGTGTAGCAATATGTGAAAACAAATGTTGAATTTATCATGAGTAAGTTACATTGTAGTACAGAGTACACGTCACTATATATGTTTTTCTATGCTGTTGAAATCCAATTCCTAGATATAAATAAGATTCATACATATAATCTACTTAATCCTGAAACTAAATGTTTTTCTCACTTTAACATAAAATATTCAAACTCTACAGAAATGTTATATCACATTAACTGTAACGTAATGTCTGAGGCAGATATAACTAATGAGATTATATTATCATACATCAGACGACTTGATAAATTTAGAATACGTTTTTATACATCAAATACCGTGACAAAGATAGATTACTTTGTCATACATCGAATTATTTGATAAAGATAACTTAAATTATTATACCTCAGAAAACTTGAGGGGTCTCTCGATGGGGAAGTGGTAAGTTTACAGACTTACAAAGCTAAAATTATAGGTTATATTTCCATACTACACAAAGTGCAGATAGCTTATTGAATTGCACTAAAACAAAGAGTATAAACTAGATATAAACTAGTCTAATGTGCATTTGACAAATGTTACCATAATTTGTTCCAATATATATATATATAACAATCCATGTAACTTGAGATCTAGTTAGTTATATTACTGTGGTTGTGAGATAAACTGATATCCTACAGGTATTGCAATATCACAGGATCTGAAAATGTGGTGTACACACAAACTGCAAAGGCAAAACAAATAAATGACATTTTTATTCATACTGATACAAAGGGTGAGAACGTTATGTTAAAACAGTTTTGGCGCCTCTACATATCACTACAGTTCATGTCTCCACGTTTGATCATTTTCTGTTTGATAATCAAGCAGTGTAGTTTACAGTGCAAAAGACTATCAAAATGATGTCATATTCAAAGTAAAGCTTCCATTGTGTACTTTTCCAGCAGTTTTACAGTCAAGTCATACAGAAATTCACAGCAACTTCACTGGTATTTTTTTTGTATGAAATAGCATGAACATTCAACACCCATTTCAACCTCCAGTTATTTGAGGTATGTAATGGGGAAGTAATACGTTGTGGAAGCATCTTATTTACACATGCGTCACTTTTCCTGATGAATATCCTTCTCGATTATAATGCGTGTTGTTTCTGAGGGCATGCAGACGGCTTTAGCCATTAACCTTTGCATTCATTCCTGTTACAAAATGCTACTGTCTACTTACTGTGGCTGGGGTTTGAACTCTTTCAGGTCTCTTTCTGGATGGTACTCGTGCACAAAGTTCAGCCATACTTTTTTGTTCCATATCATCAACTACAAGGAATATTCCTATCTTGAAAACTAAATCCTCAATCCGAGGTATTGGAAGGTATAAATATTTTGTGTTGGAAAGGACATCATAGTGATCAACTTTTGATGGCATCATACTACCTATTAAAATCCAACCAATATGAAATGTTAGTTCTGATATGTCAGTTCACTACGATTTTATATTGGTTGGGGTTGACATATGGCTTACTGATTTGCATGCTCAAAAATAAATATTTTAATATAATGCACACAACCCTGTAATGCAGCGTATGTACCAAACTGAACAATCTCTTAAATTCTCTTGTAACTATATTGGCTGCTAAGGTAAAGAGAAAGGATTTACAGCAGCATACATATTAAATTTGCAGAGAACAAAAGCAAGAAGGATTATATGATATCACATTTTCAAATCGAAAAAAGGTCCAAGAGCAACATCCGATAATCTAAATGTTACTACGTCACCAACTAGTCCTTATAACCTTATAATATCAAAAAGGGAAAGAATGCCTAGCTTTTACCAATTTATACAAGTATCTCTGTTAATTCTTGATATATGCTTGCTTCACCCCAGAAAGTGGGTACAGGCATACGGCGAAACTAGTAAAATCTTCTAAGAAACAGCTGTTGTTGAATGCATCTTTTTGCATGAGCAAAAAGATTAGTACACGTTTATTATATTTCAACATCTGGTTCACAATTATGCGATAAATACATGCAGAATAACCAAACGAATCTTTAGAAGAATTACACTAATATGCCTTCCTACAGATAAAATTTTAAAGAAATTATAGAGGGGTGAAATCACCAAAAACACAACATAGACATTGAAGAAAAATTCAGATGAATACCTTGATTAAAATAAAGTATTTACTAAACAAATATTACAATAATGATGACTACACAAGTGGATCTGTTTATCAAATCAAGTGAAAATCTGTGAATTTTTACTTATAATCGAGAAACTAATAGAAATCCACACACAAACGAATGATTTAATGAACAGTTAAAAATACACCTGGAAAAGAAACAAGAACAACGAGAAGAGGGATTACAGCAGTTGTTGGAGGAAAAAGAAAAGAAACAAGAAGAGAGATTACAGCAGTTGGAGGAAAAAGAAAAGAAACAAGAAGAACGAAAAAATAAGCAAGAAGAAAGACTACAGCAGTGGTTGGAGAAGTACACAAATGGAAAACATTAGTAAATTTCAAAGCGAATTAAATATATTAAAGAATGATTTACTGTCTTTTCCACAAGGAGGATATATTAGCCATCGACCTAATCAGCCTCAGACAACGGGAAGCCCCTTCCAGACCCCGCAGCTAAACCCTAATGCAGACATCTTCAGTCCTGCTGGAAGTCACATTCCAGACACAAGTGTCAGCAATAGGGGTGATCTAATACGAAGGAAGCCACAGGAATACGATGGGAAAGCACCGTGGGAAGCACATAGAGCGCAATTTGAACTCCTGGCAGAAATGATTGGATGGATAGAGGAGCAGAAAGCCGTATATCTGGCAGCGAGTTTGAAGGGACAACCACTGCAAATACTTGGAAAGTTGTCAGCAGATGACAGGCACAACTATAGAACACTCATAGCGGTTCTGGAACTCAGGTATGGAACCCAAAATCACTTCAAAGTCTAAAGTGCTAGG